GAAACTTTTGCTTGAATCGTGTAAGAAAACGTGTTTGAAAAGTATTTGTTATTATTTCGGTATGGATCGGAGATGTTTTCATGACAAATTATGCATAACAAGTTTGCACCCACAGGGAGAGGTTACCTCCTGCGCAGCTGCATTTTTCAGAAAATGGTAAATATGTGCGATTTTCACTAAGATGAAAGTGGAAATTAAGTGAATTTACTTAGGAAAGGTTGTATCATGCTGGTGGTAATAGAGAATTGGTTGTATAGGACGCCAATATTCAATAAGTGTTCATTTTGGCCTTCTTTAAGCAAACATATGGATACTCCCAATTTTCGACGGAAAACGCACCGGAGCTTGATTTACTCAACACGCACCATACTATAAAATGGTGCTAGATGGTCTTCAAAGTGATAACAAGATGAGAAATCATCTTTATTTTGAGTAATTGAGCAATTTACTTCTGTTTACCATCATATTTACGATGCAGCATTGATGAAGCCGTGAAATGAAATGAATATATCTTATGAAAGTTCAACTGGAAAAGTCAAAGATGCACATCAGTCTGATCGTAAAAACGTTGTCTTCTTCAATTCGAATGTTATATTGGAAGAAGGATTTCACGCAGGCTTGATAAAAATTATGATTTATTGCTTATTTTCACGAATTTTATATGCAGTCTGTCAACATTATCATCATCATGCAGTGGCGACATCTGCGTTGAGCTTTTGCGGCAATCTTCCAATGGCACTGTTCATTCCGTAATTGGTGCGGTGAGGTTGAGGTCGTAGCATCGCATTGTTCCGTAGAGATCTTGGTCGCACATACAAGTTGATTCGTTGCAGGATTTCAGGACAATCAACTCGACCCAGCAAGACATCAGAAACCAGCATAGTCTTAGCAACGTCTCTTCGTGTACTAAGTGTATCCAGACGAATTAGCTGACATCGGTGCTCGTAGTTTTGGAGACGAAATGGATCCCGCCATGGTAGTCGACGAAGTGCGAATCGAACAAACCACCGTTGCACTGATTCTATTCTCTCGATTCCATTTTGGTAGTGAGGGCTCCAAACAGTCGAACAGTACTCCAATTTCGACCGAACTAATGCACAGTAGAGCGCCTTTAGACAGTAAATGTCCGTGAACTCTTTTGTTAACCGGAAGATTAAGCCTGGTGATTTTGAAGCTTTATTCACTACGAACGACACGTGCTCCTTGATTTCGTTCACTCTTACCAGTGGTGCTCCAGAAAATGAATAATCATGAAGTTTTGGATCTTTCAGTCGAGAAAACGTAATAACTGAGCATTTTGCAGGATTTACGGTCATACGATTCATCTGGCACCAAGGAGCGAATGCATCAAGTTGTTGTAGAAACTGAGCGTCAACCTCAGAACGAAGCTTGAAGTCATCAGCAAACGAAAGCCTTGGCCCATCCAGCTGTCCAGCACTGCATTGACATCGTTGAAGTATAAAAGGAAGATGAGTGATCCAAGATGACTTCCCTGCGGAATCTCTGACTGATTGGAAATGAAGCTGAAGTGGATTCGCCGATGACTACTTGCGAGCGACGACCGTTCAAGTAGGACTGGAACCAATCCAAACGAGTTCCATGAATTCCAAGCTTTTCAAGCTTCGCTACAGCAATTTGATAGTTGACCTTATCGAATGCTGTGGATAAGTCCAAATATAGTACATCCGTTTGTGCTCGTTCAAGCATACTGTCGGTTACGTAAGAAGTGAGACATAAAAGGTTTGACGCGGTCGAACGACCGGGTATGAAACCATGCTGGTCTGGGCTTAAAAATTGCTAGCAATGAAAGAATAGTTGGTCCATCACAACAAGCTCAAAGAGTTTGGAAACATGTATGCACGTTTCCAGCAGGACGGAAACACTCCGGATGAAAGCGACAAGCTGAAGATCACTTAAAGTGGCTCGAGCAAGCTGTCAATGCAGTTCTTCAAAAACACCGACGGAATTCCATTGGGACCTAAGCACGTTGACACTTTTAGTTTACGTGCAGCTGCCATAATCGCATCATTGTTGACAGTGACTTCAGGCATAGCTAGCCCTGACGGCTGTGTGTTACTGAATGCTGATGATATCTGTCTATCGGCAGGTCACACTCGTTACGTTGCTGTTTGACATAATCCCAAAAAGATTGTGGATGGGATTTGAGTCGTCGTTGTAAGCCCGTCTGATATCGAATATAACATCTCTTGCTAACGCATTTATAGCTTATGTTCAGCTTCACGTAGTGGTCACGCAGCGATACACTCTTGTTTTTCGAAAATCTTCTTAGGCGGGTCTCTTTTGTCTTTTCAGCCTTCGGAGTTCGGGAGTGAGCCATGGGGTACGACCAACGGCATCCAAGTTCGATCCAAAGGCGGAGAAAGGCGTGTTCATTTGATATTGCGAAGATACCAAGGGCTATCGTGTATACGATGGAGCGAAACGATTTCATAATCAGTCGAGATGTAATCGTGATCAGCGAAAGCATTCCAAAGTCGAACGATCACAAGTAGATACGTGCTTGTACTGGATCCTGGATGGTGACATTATGCTATTTGTGACGATATACGTAGATGATCTGCTGATATTTACAAACAACCTGGCGTTGAAGAAGAAACTGAAGAAATTTTTGATGAAGAAGTTCCAAATGAAAGACTTGGGTGAAGCTTCACACTGCCTGGGAATTCGAACTGTCAGAGATCGAGTGCAAGGACATCTTTCGTTGGACCAACAATCTTATATTCAAGAGATAATCCAGCGCTTTGGGATGACAGACGCTACTCCTGTAGCAACACCAGCAGATCCAAGTCTGAGACTAGATAAATCGATGTCTCCTAAAACGGCTGAGGAGGCAGCACAGATGTCAAGAGTACCCTTCAAGGAAGCAGTTGGCTGTTTGTCATATGTAGCGCAAACTAGTCGAGCAGATATTGCGTACGCTGTGAATGCTGTGAGTCAATTCTCAGCCAACTCTGGTAGACAACATTGGGAAGCAACCAAGCGTATAATACGATACCTAAAGGGAACAGCGCAGAAAAGGTTGCTGTACACTAAGGACGATACTGGAGGCCTTCAAGGGTATAGCGATGCCGATTGGGGAGGAGATCCTGATGACAGAAGATCGACAACAGGTTACTTGTTCACCATGCAAGGGGCTGCCATATCCTGGAATGTGAAAAAGCAACCAACCGTAGCCCTTTCATCATGCGAGGCGGAATTTATGGCACTTTCGCGGGCCATTCAAGAGGCGATGTGGTGGAAGAATCTGCGTTCGGAGCTAACAGAAGTTGAAGCAATGCCAATCTACTGCGATAATCAGTCGGCAATCAGCATCGCGAACAATGGTTCGTATAATCCAAGAACGATGACCCTTTTGAAGCAAGCCAAGTTAAGCCAGTTCTTAGGCATCACGGATTAGGGAGGAGTGAAAACCAAGTAACTCGCGATTGTGTTACGTTAGCAAGTATTTAGAGAATAAACGTTCATTCCACTTTGTTCCTTCAAACCTGAAGCACCGTTTTTCCTTTTAACTCTACAAGACTCAGGCTTCTTATGCTGATGAAGGACGTAGGAGAGATCCTTGCTAAACCCATCACGGTACAGGAGGACAATCAAAGCTGTATTGCGATACTGCGGTCTGAAGGAGGAAATAGTCGAACGAGCTGGTATGTACCGGTGTCATGGACGTCGTTTATTGCCCAACGGAGCAGATGGTTGCCGACGTACTCACGAAGCCGTTAGCAAGAGTCAAACTAGAGCAGTTGCGGAAGAAGATTATCCTTCAGTGCGTCGAGCTTGAGGAGGAGTGAAGGAGAAAGCTGAAGCAACTCGACTGAAGGGTCCAATAACAGTACTCTAGATAATAAGTTGATTTCAATAAACTCAGTTTGCATTAGTCACTCGACAAGTACAGTTGTCTATCTTTTTCCCTTCAAGATTTCGAACGGAAGGTGTGGCTTACCATCCACGGTGGAGTGCAGATGGATGACGGAACTTGGAGGAGGCGAATGAACCACGAATTTCACCAGCTGCTGGGAGAACCATCCATCTTCTACACTGCAAAAATTGGGAGACTACGGTGGGCTGGGCACGTCGTAAGAATTCCGCACGACGACTCAGTTAAAATGACTCTCGAAAGCGATCTAACAGGAACAATAAGAATAGGCGCGCAACTGGCAAGGTGGATCGACCAACTAGAACGCAACCTGCGGACCCTTCGCAGACTACGAGGCTGGTGACGTGTAGCCATGGATCGAATAGAGTGGAGATGACTTCTTCGGATAGCAGAGGACATCAAGACTGGTAAGGTAAGTAAGTGCCTCGCTAAATTTGAATGTGGTGTGACAAAAGTGAAAGTATTCATTTATTCCGGCCTTATGAGAAGAACTCTAAGAATAGATTCAAAATAGTTCTGGGTCAAATTCCAAAGAAAATCTGAAGATAAATCTTAGAGGGTTAGTTCCAAGGTAATTCCAAGAAGAATACCAATTAAATCGAATTTTCCCGGTATAATTGCGAAGGAACTCTGAGAAGAGACTCACGCGAATTCCAAGGATAGTTTCGTGAAGCATTTGTATAAATTCTCTTTACTTCAAATTTCTATCAAAACTCATATGAAATTATCCTCCGAATTACCTTTGAGTTCTACTCCGACTACTTGAAAAAAAAACATCAGAATTTCATTGGAATTCTGTTTGGAATCACTGTAGAATACTCTTATGAATTTCCTTTGGATTACTGCATAGAATTTCTTTAGAAAATTTCTACCAAAATACTTGGAATTATCTGCAGAATTCTCCATAGAACTCAATTTAAATTACCCTCTCAATTCTCTTAACATTGAGCCAGTAATCATGTCGAAAATAAAGCATCTACAAAATCACTTTTCCGAAGGACCTTCCCAAACGACATTTCTCAACACGTCAATGATAGACGCTAGCTTTCTTACTCAAATGCGAGCAACAAAACGGAATCCACAATCACCAAATTTCCAAACTTACCAACGCCTCATTGGCGGAAGCCATCTCCTCCTGCAGCTGCATCAGTCTTTTCTCCATGTTGGCCCTCTCCTGTTCGGCTTCCTCGCGCAGCTGCTTCTCCCGCGCCAGCTTGTTCCGCTCGATGTGCCTCCGGTGTTTCTCCTCCTTTGCCTGTGCTTTCATCTGCTGGATCTCCATCGTGTCCGGTTTGCGTCGCTTCATGTACAGCTCGTGGTTCCCCACGCATAGATCCAGCAGTTCCTTGTTGTTGCGAGCCTTCTCCGAGTAGAAGGTCGTCGCAACGTTGCCCTTTTCTTCGTTCGTTTTGACGAAGAATTTCTTCCCGTCGAAACTGATGTTTCGGATTTCGTTCCACGGGAAGGTGGTCATCGGAGTCAGTTTGTTCTCCTTGCTGTAGATGTTGAGACCGAGCGCAGTAACGCCCACGTATACCTCTGTGTTTTTCTTATTCTAAAAGAAGAAGTTCCAATGTTAAAATTACACGAAGGTTTAAAATTCAACGAGCAGCCATCCCTTACCGTAATGGGAAAGTAGTTAACGCCAAACATGTCCAAATCCTGTGCTATCTTGAGATACTCCATCTCCGCTTCGTCGCGGGACATCCCGCGATGATCGGCGTACCACGTTTTGATTCGCTCTTCCCACATCTGCGGAGTCATCTGGTACTGATCGATCACCCGTTGCGGTAATAAATTTTCACTAATCAACATGCCCGGCTTACAGACAGCCTCATCGAAATCGCCGTACTGAAAACCGGTAGAGCAAATTATTAATTGGCCAATCAAACGAGTCAATAATCGCATACCTTAGCTTGCACCGCGTAGGAAGCCAGTAGGACGGAAGCCTCCGGTGGACAGTAAACTACCATCGAGAGTATCGCCTCCTTGATCTGCAGGAAAAACATGTGCTGGGTGACCTCTTGGACCAGCTCTTCGGCGACGTTTTCCGGGAAGAATTTGGCCATGAACATGAACACGCAACCTTCCGTGGTGAGATTGATGTGCTGATCCAGGACTTTCTTGTCCATTTTGAGCCAGCTTTTGTAACCCTTCTTGTCGACGTAGCGCAGCCCAAAGTACCACGTCTCACGGAGACCGATTGTGCGGCAAATTAGATCGAACAGGAAGCCACCGGTGGCACGGTGCTAGAATACGCAAAATAATGCACAGTTAAAAATATCAAGCTGGCAACAATAATTAGCGAGCGATTAAAAATAGAATCCACCCACTACATCAAACAAAATGCTCAGCACAGAACCACTCACCTCGAGATGGAACTCCAGCTCCGAGTCGTACGTGCACACCTTCACCGGGAACTCCTTGTTGGATTTTTTGCGCCGGAAGGGGGCCATCATTCTCCCGGACGGGGGCGCCCCGAATATGCTTTCGGAATCCAATTTAACACTCTTTTGTCCGGGTGGTTCTCCCTTGCAGGAGCTGGCAATCGGGTTCCGGTAACCCTCCCCTAAAACAAACCGTTCCTCCGCCTGTTCTACTTTGGAATTCCCTAATGAATTGATGTTTTTTCTTCCGTTCACTCTTCCCGCAGATCGAAAATTATTGTACAATCACTTTCAGTTTTTCCAACTCTTTTTACGTAAACACAAACACCACACACAATCAACGCACATCAGACACGGACCCGTTTGGTTTGATGGTGCCTTTCTTCTTCTTGTCTGCCGTCGTTGTCGTCGCCGTCGGATTGAGTAAGACGAACAAAAAATAAAAATTCTAGGATTTCTTCATCGCGAAAATGGGTGCAACAGACTTCTGCCGCTCACGACCGGGAAAACATTAAAATCGACACTGCTTAATGCTATTTTTGCTCACTAGCACTTTTGGAAGCATTTGATACACATTTAGATGAAAAATGGTACGATTAATCATCAAATGGGGATAATTAAAAAATTGTAAATAACTTTTCAGTCTTCAAAACTTTTTGAAAGGCACTTTTTTTACTTTTTTTTTCTCGACTGACAGGTCGAAAACGCTTCGTTTGTCGGAGTTGAATGCTCGTATAGCCGTGGGAATAAGCAACGGAGGAACATTCTGAAGGGCAGTTATAATAAAGGCTCTGTGCAGGAATGCCAGATTTTTTTTTAAATCAACGGTGGGAGCTCGATACAAAAGTGTATCTGTAAATTTCCGGAAATGTCTGCATGCACCGAGGCATGCACTCAAAAAATATTCAAATCTCCTGCGACTCCTTTGCTGTTGTTTGTGTGCAGATTAATCCTTGAAAGGAGCATTGGCCCTCTCACTGGAGGAGGAAGACGAAATGGGCGACTAACCTGGTGCCTAATATATATATAGATTTCTGCATTTCGTTCGAAACGAAATTCTCATACAAGATTTTTTTTTGTATAGGAATTTCGTTTCGAACGAAGTACAGAATAGGGGTGAATTCTAGGGGCATCCCACTCTAAACTTTGTATTTTTCCTAATATACATATAAAAATCTTAGTGATGTCTAAGGTACCCAAAAATACTTTAAAATACTTAAGAAATATCTAGCGTTAGTTTATTTGCTTGGTTGCTATGTCAATTTGATTTGCTTGTTTATCCAATGTCAGGCGTTTTGTGTGAATATTGGTTAAGTTGTTAAGCAATTAGCATTCATTTGATTAGGAGCGTGAACACCCGCATAAACGCGAACCATAAATTGACCTTACCTAAAATGGTTAAAAATTGTTTATAATCCCTGCTAAACTTTAACTGAAATGGTTATGGAACTTTACATGAACGTTTAATGATAAAGTTTCAACCTTATGTATTATGGTTTTTTGGAACTGGACCTTACAAATAATGGGTTGTTAAGAACCATTACCATTCCAAATTCTTGTTTTCTCCATACATTTTCAGAAAGAGAACTATATAAGAACGTTTTTACTTATGATTTGAGAACATTAATGGTAATGGTTATGGTAGTCAGTAAGGTCCATTAATGGTTTTGTATTATCGCTCAACTTTACGTGGAATATATCGTGAATTGGTAATCAGTAAATTACAGGCAACCAATTCGCGATATATTCCACATAAAGTTGATCGATGTTACAAAACCATTCGTGGACCTTACTGACTACCATAACCATTACCATTAAAGTTCTCAAACCATAAGTTAAAAGGTTCTAATATAGTTCTCTTTCCGAAAATGTATGGAGAAAACAAGAATTTGGAACGGTAATGGTTCTTAACAACCAATTATTTGTAAGGTTCAGTTCCACAAAACCATAATACATAAGGTTGAAACTTTATCATTAAACGTTCATGTAAAGTTTCATAACCATTTCAGTTAAAGTTTAGCAGGGATTATAAACAATTTTTAACCATTTTAGGTAAGGTCAATTTATGGTTCGCGTTTATGCGGGCAGCTATAGGTGTCCCGGGCCATTTTCGGTGTAATATGTTCACCATGTACCAGAAAGAAATAATTCTGATAGGCATTGGAACAGGGGGTAAGTCACTCTGCCACCTTGTGTCCGTGCTTATTGTGTTTCTTCGGTGTTTTTGGGTGTCGGAAGGTGTTTCAGCGTGTCAACATAGTTGTCAAAACGTTGAGTGAAAAATAAAGTTTTCTGGCAACCACTACATCTATCACAGCTGATTCCAATGCGATATCAACACAGTTGGAATAGCAAGCATAAGCGTGCAAATGTTTGATTATTTCTGCTCCAGGCATTCTTCGGCATTGTCGATCGAGTTTTCTTTCGCTTCCTGGGCGTCGGAAATCCCCGGTGCTGTGGCGGCAGCTGGTTCTGAGCTCGCATCACTTTCCTGACACTCCCGAGCGCTTTCCACCTTGTCGCTTTCTTCGGCGCTGGCCACGACTTCCAGTGCTTGGTCGGCAGCACCGACCTCTTCGTCGCCGATAATGATCTCCTCCGGATCGGGAGCCCACGGCAGGAACTCCTCTTCCGGGTAGATATCCTTAAAGATCGAACGCGCTCGCGCTATGCTTTCATCGTAGTCCAATTCGTAAAGCGGACCGCAGGCCAGATGGATTCCTTCCGGCAGGGAGCCGGACGGATGCTGGCACACGACGCATTTCGGAATGTTGAAGTACAACTCGTAGAGGATTATTGATACGTTATTCTCCGGTGCTTCTTTGTCTTCCGCAAGCTCTTCCGGAGGTATGAAATAAGCTTTTGAGAGACACGTAAGGTTCCAAATCTGCCCTCGGGTTACCGCTGATGGTTTTTGCCGTCACGTGGATGAGATCTTGAAAACAATCAAAATAAATTATAAATTGTCCACACGCCTAGGCAGACCTGATTACTTACAAATGTCCTTCGGGCAAGTGCCACTAAAGTGTGCCAATTGAATAATGGTAGCCCCATCTTCGTGCCCTTCCACGGGGGACAGTTTCATCAGCGACACGCCACCTCCACCGGAATTCTGCGATGCAACACCCAATGGAACATTCGTTAAAAATATAGCACGTGCCATTTGACCACAGTGCTCCTTTCGCTTCTCTTCCCTCGAGCCTTCCTTTACTCCGAAAATCTCCTTCTCAACGTACCCCTGCCCTATGACCAACCCTTTGGCCTCTATCATCTGTTTGCCGAACAATAAATCCCTCCGAAAACGGCGCACAGCCGGCAAAAACACTGCGGAATCTCCCCGTACATCGGAAACAGAAACGGGCTGTTTCCGTATCGACCCAAACTAAGCAGAAACTTCTTCACCCCTTCCCGGCAGCTAGTGTGGTCATTCCCCATGGCGATTGTGTACAACAAGTAATGGATCAAATTCGAGGTCAACTTTTGTTTCTTCAAATACTCCAGGAACGTCTTTCCCTCGACTTCCGCTGCCTGATGCTCGCTCCCTTCCCAACTTGCGCAACTCTGCAGAAACTTCATCAACAGTCGCTTCTCCACCACATTCACGTCCCGACTTGTAAACACATCCGACCTCGAACACGGAACCGTCATAATCCTCCCGTTCCAGATCGTCGCAACTCGGTCCGCCGCTCGAAATTCCGCATACCGACCCTGATACGCTGATACCGACAGATGTTCGACGAAATCAGGAGTCCTACCGATTGCTGGTGGGTGATCTCTATACTTAAGAAAATGCAACAAAAACAAAAAAGAGCATCACACGAATGTAAACATTCTTGGCTCTAGGCAGTGCTGCCAAAAATGATTGAAAAATTGTTCTCATGGTTATTAAAGGGTGTTTGAGTGTGTCCAAGGTGTTTTTGATGTGTTTAGCACAAGGTGGCAGAGTGACTTACCCCCTGAAGTGTGTGGGTTCGAAAAAAATATAGCTATGCTCAGAAAACGAAGCTCTTTCAGATGATGTATAAAAACTTATATATATATTTTTTTAATTAAAGAACCCAATTGTTAGACTATCATTCAACCTTACTGTATACATGTTTCTCGGCGTTATTCCATGAGTCCATTCGTATCCTGTGCTGTAGCGAAAATCCATTACTGTATCACTTCCGATGGTATCGAGATTTGCCGATAATCCTCGTACTCAATCGTTCCAATCTGGGGTCAAATCGTTGTATCTGTAAACAAAAATAACAACAACAACAATAACAATCGAATGTAAACATTATTTCTAGTGGTGCCAGAATTGATTTAAAAATTTGCTTATAATGGGGCAGACGGGTGTTTGTGGGTGTTTGAAGTGTATCGACGTGTGTTTCTATGGGTGCTAGCACAATGTGGCAGAGTGACTTACCCCCTGGCCGAAGGCTAGTTCATCTCTAGGACTCAATAAGGTGAAGCGGGAATCTGCATACTTTTTAAGCTTTTTTTATTTAATTTATCTTTGAGTGTAGTGTTAGCATGCTATTAGTTATGCCAAATAGACGATCAAATCGATAGTGGGTCTTATTGCGATGATCGTTTCTCTTCGTAGATTTTCTCTTTAAATTACTACAGCAGTTTTTTTTTTAAAACTTGTCCAATACAGTCCCAAATACAAAATTACCATAAACGAACGATAACCCAAATTATTGGACTATTCCACAAATGGTTTGGATGATACCCCGAACACGTCGTTTAGCAAATTAACCATAACATTTTTATTAGGTGTGCTGTAACAGTTTGTATTGGCTATCAAAAGCAACAACAAACGCACCGACAAATCTAGAGTAACATTTGAAATGGGCCCATGTCCAAAACGTAAACAAATCGGGTTTTGATACCATTCTTTAGCACCGCTTGATAGCCACTAATCGTGCAGGAAAATTCCGCACAATCGGTAAAAATCATTAAAAGTAACTCGATTTTCGAAACGGCCGATCAACGAAATTTTTCGATTCATTAATAGGCCCACATGCTAAAACGGCCAACCATTCATTTATTTCATTTCATTGATAAGCCTAGTGACGTAGAAGGGCCGATGATTGAAAATTTTCAAGCCAAAGCTAGGCCCTACTGGTTGAGGCAGGGCCGATGATTTGTTTTGAATTTATTTGACGTTGCGAAACGGCTAAGCAACGGGCGTACCATTCGTGATGACAAGCACAACGGCTTAACAAAAAGGGCCTATCCATTGAAAGATTCATAAAAAGGCTTATTCATTTATGAAATTAAATTGTTATCGATTTTCGTATATTTTTGAAAGCTTTTCGCATATTTTGGAGATTGTGTACTGAGACACAGTTACTTTTGTTATTGTGAACAATAAAAATGCCTAAAATACTTCAATTTACTTAAATATGAATTGAATAGTGGCGGAAAAATTTAAAATTCATTTTCTGGTTTGTTTACGTTTTGGACATAGGCCCATTTCAAATGTTGCTCTAGAAATGTTAATCCAAGTGAGTTATTTACAAAAGAGAAATTGACGAAGAGAATCGATCGTCGCGGTTACGCCCTTATGCATGCTCACTGTCGAAATGCATTGTTTTCGAAAGCTGATACGTCCCTTTCGAAAAGTAATCGAGAAATGATATCTATATATTGGACACATAGGGCAAACACTTCTATAGTTGCGGTACGTTAGAAGCGTTAGGTTCCTATAGTTGTGTATGGAGACTCCGTACACAACTATAGGAACCTAACGCTTCTAACGTACCGCAACTATAGGAGCGTTTCCCCTATTTAATATGTGTACACAAAAAGGACCACACACGACACATAAATTTTTCATTGAAAATCGTCAAAATGTGTGGAATTTTTTGAGTGATGATGGAAAACTCGATTACCAAATAGTAGGTTGCTTGAGAAAATCGGACACCCCTAGCTCTGAAAGGGAAAAAATTAAAATATTTTTTTAAAGAGTATCGGTAACTTTCTGAAGGGGATCGTGTGACGAAATTTACCCATACCGACACAATCGCCGTTTTCGTTGCGGTTGGTTGCCCGTGAAAACAAAAACAAAACCTGTACAGTCTTTCGGTGTGTGTGGGCTCTGTATACAATGGGTGGGTGGAATAGAACGGGTATTTATATAGAATCAAACATTATAAACGGTTCAATCTTTATAATACTTGAAAACATGAGAATTCTAAAAAGATTTAAAACTGATAATAATATATTAAGTTTTCTATAATAGTAATTATAAAGAATATGCAGTAAAATTTGATCCCTTTCATCCAGTTGCCGTTTGAAGATTTTGTTTTGACGCGCCGCGCGCACACATGCAAAGTTCCGCAAAGTGTGTGTGTGGTGTTGTTCCGCAAAGTGTGTTTGTTTTTCGGTTCCGTTCTTCCATTTACCCTTTGCGGTAGTAGCGGTAGTCGCAGAGTCGAATCTAGGAGTTTTACTACAATGTTTATGTGTGTTTGTGAGTCGTATCCAAAACCATCAAGTTAGCTTCTAGTCAAACAATTAAAAAGGTCCTGTCTACTTTGATCGATTCTCTTCAGCGACTTTCTTTTTCAATAATAACACAGTTGAAAAACAATCCCTGTTGTGTTTGACGATCAAGATGCTAGATAACAACGTCCTTCATCACACAATGGGGAAAAAAAAGCATGAAATTTGTTTTCATCGCCGTGGTTATCAGAAGAGAAAGCCGATTAAGAGAGTCGATCAAATCAGATAGGACCTTTTGAAATGTTCATCGAACTGTTCGTCGGTTTGCATCGCACTTTGTGTACCTCTCGGCCAGTTTATTCCAAGGGGGGGAGGTGGCTGTCAAATACGAACAATCGTCGCCTACCTCGCATAAGTGGTTCCAAACGTAAACAAGCCATAAGAAACCTACAGCGTTTGTTTACGTTTGGAACCAGTTTCATACAAGATGATCAGTAGGCTGATTTGACAGCACATCCCCCCCCAGGTTTATTCCCGTTCATTTGTCAGTCAGGTCGCAAAATAATCATCTCGATAATAAGAAGAGGAGTGTGCAGTCAGTGTGGTGCTAGAGCTACAGAGGAAAATCATAAGGAAACTGTAGGAAAAAAGTATATAATCACATCACAACGTCGCGGTGTGTGTACGCGAAATTTTGGTATTATTTCGTGTGACTGCGGTCCATCTCGTCGGGCATAAGCAAAAGTGGAGAATTTTCATCTTTTCGCGTAATCATAGCTTATTTTGTGCAAAATCGGCGACGAAGAAAAACTGCGCTGGTGGCAAACGACCGTCACGATCGGGTTTGCATTTTCCGCTTCATTTTCCTCCAATTGTTCTGGTGATGTAAAAATAGTGTGGAATAGAATAACAGTGGGGGAAAACTACAAGTTGCAGCGGAGGAATTTTCCTCCCCATCGGGTAGGTAAATACGGTTGAAAATGGTGGAAAATTGCGTTCGTTCGTCGGTCCTCCGGGGGTGCTCGAAACGTGTGCAAATCCGTGAATAATTTGCGTGGTGAAAATTCGATTTCGTCATCCATCAGCATCAGCAAGCGATATCGATAGAATAAAAACTGGTGGGGACAGAGGTTCTCACGCCGTATTCAGTGACGTAAATAAAAAAAGATCCGGAAGGAAGTGCCAGTGTAGGAAGAAGTAGGAATATTGTGCTGTTGGGGGGAGCCAGCTGAAAAAAAGAGCATCGGTCTCTCTGCGTGTGTGGATGCCTTTATTTGGTTATTGTTTGGCTTGTGAAGTACCTTACGCTGTTTTCGGTACCTACCCAGATCCCAGGAAGGAGGAAAACAAATAATAAAATAGTAAGTGCGCTGCCGCTACTGCTGAACGAAGCAAGAATATAGCAAAACCAGAAGTCGCTGGCTGAAAAAGGAAGAAGCTTCAAGGGAACTACGACGACGACGGAACCACGACGTCAACAGCATCAGAGCGGTCATCAACCATCAGAACAGAAGTGTGAGTGTGTGCTAAATATTGGTATTTTATTATTATATATTGGGGATAAATAGCATTGGCTTGATTTTACTATTGTTGCACTAGTCGAGAAAAGGTTGAAAACTGTTGATATATTTTGTGAGTTGCTAAGGTCAATCCTCCGTAAGTACAAGGAGGAAACGGAAAACCACCTTCGGATTGATTTGGGGGCTAGGATTTGTTATTATTACCAACACTATCATGCTGGCGTTTGCCAAGGTTATTCTGATAGATGCACAGGTTTTGTGACTGATTTGTCATCAGTATTGGATTTAGTTAGAGCAAATTGACTGGCTGAGCTTGTATTAGCAAAAGGCATTCGTTGTTATTCGATTTATTGGACAACCCTCTAATTAATTATTGCATTCGTCTAATCAGTCGCAATGCCACCATAATTACTCATCAGTGAATGAAGTTTGCTCTTGATTTGTTACGTTATTTTAAATTCCCAGTCCATCCCATAAGTCAATTTAAACTACCATCGTTCTAGCTGTTGATGTACTTTTCAGATAAAAAAGTAAATCTGATACCCAAGTGCAAATATGACGCGGAATGTATTAAAATGCTTAAATAAATATTATTGCGCTCGTGGTCATCTTCGGCGACCGGCAGCCCTCGGTTAAGAGTAAAGATCCGTGCGAATTGCCCTAGAGTGTATTTTGTTCACGATCATCATCATCGTCACAAACACACTGTAGTTTGTATAGATTATTAGACTCGTTACTGAGTTGTGCTCTAGAGTGCTCTCTGCTACTGCTGGTCTCTGTTTACGACGATGACTAATATGCTTGCTGCATGCCCGTCACCTTTACTACCTCTCTCTCTCTCTCTACCCATCCATCGATACACATGCAGTCGCAGTTAGAGCTCTGGAATGGAAATTGATCAACTGCTCCCTAACTCCCTTCCCACCCTCAGTTGTCTGTTGATCAATTGCGCTTTTTTCGCGCCGTATCTGTTAGAGTAATACGGAGGAGGATGTCGTATTAGGTAACATCACACCAGCGATGCAATGGCTGCCGTTTCGCTCTCGTCGTCGTCGTCGTAAGCCGATTGCAAAAAAAACAACAGAATCAGATATAGCCATGAGCCGATCGACCGGAACGGAGCCAAACCTGCGTACCACTCTGCTAGGTCTGTGGAAACATTCCGTCATCATCATCATCATCATATTGAATGATCATCAGAGTCAGCGCCAGTCAACGTGAGATTGTTGACTTGGTTGTCGTTTTCTGTCACCCAATAAGTGGCGTCCTTTTCCGCGGAAAGTAATCGCCTTAAAATAAAAAGTTTCCCTTCGCCTCGGCAAAAGCGTCAGCTAATGGTGTTACCAACCTGTTTCGCTGGGTGAACTGGATGGAAATGCGATATCAGGGCAAACTCGTAGCGGAGGGCTTTCGGAATGGATTCGATGGTGAGAAAATTTTCAAAGCTCTACGAACCTGAAAGTTTCAGAATGGATCGAGCACTTTAATTTCATGTATTAGATTAGATGACAGATTAGATAAGCACTTTTCATGATTTTGGAAACTGTCACTTTGAAATTTTAGATTCACATGTTTTGGCCCTCAGATAGGCTAGTCTGTTGAAATGTTTGTTTTTATAACTTTGCCCAAGAAGTTCTAGATTCCTGATTTAAATGTAAATTGCAGCTCAGCTAATTCCAAGCAACATTGTAGAAGAAAGCTTGTTTGTATCTCTTGAATTGACCAATTTATAGTAATTTTCCTTCATTTACTTAGGGTGTCTCTAAAAAAAAGCATGTTGCGAATTTCAGCGAAGCTTCATAAACAAACTGTGGCAACATAATGGAAGTTAAGATCCCGAAAATATCGGGAACATATTGGAAGCTTTAAGAACCTCAAAGCGGTTCTATTAGCTTCCGAAAAACTGCAGGAACTTTTTAGATGTTCCCCTTGGATGATTGTTGTAGACCTTTAGATCTTTTTAGAAGTTCCCAGAATTTCAGCAAATCTAGATAGAGCTGGAATTAGGGCCTAACAGCTTAAGTAAATAATGACTTCTCTTGATGATTTCTAGAAATTTATGGCTCGTCCACCCAAACCAACATCCTCATCGGGTAGGGAAAGACTTCCCTAATAAAAATAACCATAGAAGAGAGCTTAACGACGTGTTCGGGGTATCATCCAAACCATTTGTGGGATAGTTTACCCATCCGGGATACAATTCGTTTGTGGTATTTGTTTATTAGGGTTCCCCTATCCGATGGTTAGGTTGGTCTGCGTAGACGTGTCAAATTCCTAGAAATCACCGATAGAAGTCATTGTTTACAAAAGCTGTTACGCCCTAATTCCTGCTCTATCTAGAAATATATTATATTAATAATATGATCCACTCTTTCAATTAGTTGGCGAATTGAATTTTTTTCTATGAAAGCGCCTCAGCGCCCAAAAAGCTACCAAAAAAGGTTATTCCTTTTTTGCTTTCCGTCGATCTTGTTTTCCGTACTCAGTGCTGGTAGCGAGTCACTTTTTAGTGACTTAGTAACTTTTTTCAAGCCAGTCACTAAAAAGTCTCTTTTTTTAAGGCCAAGTCACTAAAGTCACTATTTCTTGTAATCAGTCACTATTTTCAACTTTTTTAGCGTGAATTTATTTCAAGATTGATCATTCTATGCTTCAGGCGTTTAATCGTCTTTCTCTATCTACAGGGTGTCTATTGATTTTTCTAAATAAAATTATCTGACTTTTCCAGGTTTTTCCAGTATTTTAACGGATAAATTCCAGGTTTATAATAAAGCTAAATTTTTAAATGCGTTAAAAATATTCTTTTTTTTTTTGTAGATCAAAAACAACAGCAATTTACCCAAATGTTTTTAAGACATGTCAATCAGTTTTAAAGAAACAGCTTTACAATCAAATCCATTGAATGTTGAATTTTATCACTTACTTAATTTCTCACTTAATTTTTTGATTTTTTTGGGGGAATTTCAGACCTTAAGAGCGGTTTCTGTAGCTATAGTCCAGACTTTTGGAGCAGTTTGAATATCTATAATCGTAAATTTAGAAAAATTCAGGACAGTTCCATGATGTGCTGAAAAAAATCGAGAACCCTTAAGATGTTCCGACAGAATTTGAGGGAAGTACAGAGTCCTTCAGAGAATTTATGAAAACTTCAGAAATTTTTCAGAAACTTCACAGAAGTCCAGAGAATTTCAATGAAATTTAAAGGTTTTTACGGGAATTCCATTTATTTCCGAGCAGCAGAACCTAGATCTTCAGTAGAATTGAGAGTTTTAGGGAAGTTTCGAGAACATCAAGACAGATTATAGAATCAAAGGGCAGTTCAAACAATTTCAAGGAAATTGTAGAAACCTTAAAAAAGTTGCGAGAAACTCAGGGAATTCAGAAGCGCCAGGGAATTATCAATATATATCAAACAAATTGCCGGATTATTAAACAAATTAAGAGATCTTCAGGTAACCACTGATTAGTTCAGGGAAAATTAGGGACCGTTTATAATGGTTATAATATTTAAGGGAAATTGTCGAAACTTCAAGACAAATAATTGAATTTCAGTAAAGTTGCGGGCTCTTAAAAAATACTGAAAATTCAGGGCAGTCTAGAGAACTTTGAAGAAACCCAATAATCGTTTAGGCAGTTTAAATACCACCAGGCAAGTCCAGACTATTGAAGAAGTTTTAAATAAGTATCGATAATTTAAGGGAAGTGAACTACAAAAAAGTCTTGAGAACTTCAATGAAAATCATAGAACTATATTACATAATTATTTCGTTCTAATTCCATGAAAATTGCGGTAGCACAAAAGTTCCAGAAATTTAGAAAAAACTTCGAAAACTTCACAGAAGGACTGTGGTCTACACAAACATTTCGAGAACTTTATAGAAATCTATGGAGCTTAAGGAGAGATCCGCGAACTTCAGGATTTTTTATGAACATTGGGGAGGCCAGTTCCTTTAGTTTCAGAAAATTAGTGGGAAGTTTAAAGCAGTTCCCAGATTTTCAGATAACTTGAGAGACGTTAATAAGTTAATTGAGGTCTTCGCATGCGTTCAGAAGCTCACTGAAGCTTGAACATTTTTAGAGCGGTTCAATTAAATTCAGCGTAATACAACAAGATTCATGAGAACTGCTAAAACTTTAGAGAAGTTTTGAGAATTTCAGAAAAGAACAAAGAACCTCAGAGCAGTTCCGTTAACATTAAAGAAGTCACATAAATTTTAAAGAAGTTTAGAGAACTTCAGCGAATTGTTAAACGTTTAGAGGAGATCTATGATTATTGAAAAAAATTTAGGAAACTTTAGGAAGTCCTAAAAAGTTCAGGGAAGTTTAAGAATTTGATGAGAAGTATTGTGAGTCTCAGGCTAGTTTCTCAAACTACAAAAGAACTTCAAGGCAGTTTCATTAACTTCAGGAAAAAATTGGGAACTTTCAAGTAGTTCTGAAAACCTCAGAATAGTCCATTCCATATTCTACGGAGATTTCCATTGAAATATTCCTCTAAATTTTGGTGAAGCTATCCTTCGAATTCAATTTTCTTTTAGTTTTCCTTGGAATTCTCCGCAATAAGAAACCCTTTCGAAAGATTCTCCGAATATTCATTGAATTCATTTCAGATTTCCTTTTCAATCTCACTCCTTCCCTTGGAATTCTACTCACATTGAAAGTCTCCTAAGAATTCATTGGCATTTCTCCTCACAAATTACTTAGATTTCTTCTCAAAATTTGTTTGGCAAACTCTCCTGAATTCATTTTCCGAATTCCTTTGAAGATGTCCTGAAGTTATTCTCAGATTTAATTGTAATCCTCCTTTAGTATTTTCAAAAAAAAAAATCCAAGGAATTATGCTCCGGAGTCGTTTTCTCGCACAAACTTTATGAAATGCTCAGAATGCTCTTGGAATTTTCCTCTGAAGCTCCTCAGCAATTCCTAAGAGTTTTCATTAAAATTTACTTTTAGGTCACTTTTTAGTCACTATTTTTACAACTTTAAGTCACTATT